TATAAAGGATGGAGTGATACACATCTTGTGAATTGTTTTAGAAATCCCCTTGGAGATTCCTCGAGTCCCCCTCTACACATACACCATGGGCCATGGGCTGTGTGACCTTGGGTATGGCAGAATCACTCATGCTAAGCATGTCACCTCAGAATTGGCACTTGGGCCCACTTGGATGTAGGTCATTTTGTTTCTAAGCTGAATCCAATGACAACCTGATCTGAGGCTCCTGCCAAGAATGCTAATGGTGGGCTGATCAATGTGCCTTGGGGCTCTGGGTCCAGGGGATGCTCCAGAAGCCACATGCCATAGAATTCTGGGAGGTTGATACCCTGTCCCTGACCCCTAGGCCTTCTGCCCTCACTAGGTATCCGGCTCAGTTGGCCAGGGAGCATGGAAGTTGTCTTTATTTATCTTGACCTTTCCATGTGAGTAATTTTTATCGTTCCATTAACTAGTGAGACCATTTGCAAACCGCCAAGCAAAATACATTACCTCCGACACCTCAGGGACTTGCGGGTCATCTCGGGTGGAATGCTAATAGAACTGAGAATTGATTCAGGCCCCCCACGTGCGAGGATCAACAGATCGGGCCACTTTGGGTCAGGGAAGGACCTGTGTTGTCTCACAGTTTGCAGAGGAGACCCCAAGTCTGGTTCATCTATCTTTGTCTGTGCCACATTCTGCATCCTGGATCCTGCAAGCTCACCTGCCCCAGGACTGATGTCCCAGTCCATGGATATGCACCACAGAGCACACTTGTCCCCATGCCAGCCGCCATAGGTGTCGGGACTCTTCTCAAATGTGGTTTGAATCAGCAGAAAAGCCAGCAGCTGCTGCCATGGTGCCCTGACACCCCAGAGCTGGAGGGAACATCCAGATCCTGTCATTTTAGACAGAGAAACTGAGGCCCATTGGAGGGAGGGGCTTCAGTGACAGAGCTGGTGCTGGGACTTTCTTCTCTCAAACTGTGTCCAGGTGGCACTGGAGCCTGTGGGTAAGAGCAGGCCACTGTGAGTTCACACCTCAGGGTGGCCTCCGGTCAGTTAGGGCTGTGGCAAGAAACATTGGCACGTTGCGGAGCCACCAAGGAAAGCTGAGTGAGAAGGTGGTTATTTGTAAGCACATTAACAATGAGGAGGCACTACCATCCCCAATCCCAGGAAACCCTGCTGGGACCTTGAGCCAGAATGGAGAAGGACCATCCCATGTGCTGCCTCCTCACGGGTGAACTTGCCTTCTGCCACCCCCCACCCACTGCTGTTTCCCATCCAGAAACCGGAAGCCAAGGAAGCCCCTTAATGCCATCGATGCAGGTCACTTCCCAGCAAAGGAGGGTGGAGAAGGTGGGGGCGTGGGTCTGGAGAGGCCAATGGAGGAGATCAAGCACATGCCTCCTCAAGGGGTAAAACTTGGTTCTCAGTCTGATTTTGTGGAAGGCGAGATGCATGGGGTACTAGTGGCATTTGAATTTCATGGGAAGGAAAAATTAAGAAAAAAATGTCTAAAAATCCTGCTGTGGAGGAGGGGGCAATAAGGAACAAAAGGTTTGGGAGCATGGATCTAGCACATTCTCTTGCTAACTGTGTGGATTTGCCCTTCTGCGTCTGTTTCCCAGCTGGATGTGGACAGCCAGCTGGATGGACCTCCCGGGTTACAGAGGGCCATGTGCACTCAATGCCTTCTCATGTGGTCCTTTTCCTCTTTCACTCAGCACAGCTTCTAGCTCACTAGAGATGCTCCTGGCACCCCTGGGTCCAGCCCCAGCATCCTGGATCAGTCTGTGCTCTTAACCACCCATGTCCTGCTTCTCACTAAAGACACTTGTAGCATGCCAGGATATTAGGTCAGGACAGGGGCAGGAGGATAGATGGGGCTGGGGGACTGAGAGCAGCAATTCACATTTCTCAAAGGGGCTGAGAAAAGGGGAGTGCCACCTCCAGTCACATAGCTGGTCACATGGGAGCCTGCATTAGAGTCCCTGCCCTGAGAACCAATTGAGTTGGTTGAGGTTTTAACAAGCACAGAAATAATACCAGGACAGCAGTGGGGAAGAGGGACTTGGCAAAAACTCTGTGTAGAGATATAGGAGCCAGAGGAGGAGGCCAGAGAAGGAGGCCAGGGGGCACAGAACCCTAGTCCAGACCCTCCCAGTTGTCAGCCAGAGTGGGATTATGGCTCAGAAAGAACTTAGAGGACCCTCTACTCTAGGTCAGCTGTGTGTAAACCCTAGGCCTCTGTGGAGGGGCTGCCTACCACTCGCTTCCCTGGGGTCCTGGTTAGGAGGGGGCTGCCCCAGCCCCAGGGAAGGTAATGGAGCCCCGCCTTCATCACCCCCTAGGCACTCTCCCCACAGCACCCCAGCCCCTCCCCATTCGGTGTTCAAACACAAGTGGCTCAAACGTCAGACACGACGTCAGAGTCGCAGGAATTCACCTTCAATATTTCAGGCTTTAACACTGTCTGAACAGCACCTATGAAATATGATGGGTTGAGGTTTTAACAAGCACAGAAATAATACCAGGACGATAAGAAGCAGAAGTGGGCAGTGAGATCTAGAGCGGGACACAGCCATATCCCTGGACGCAGGCCAAGGTTTGTGGGATGACTGCCCATGTGCAGGGTCACCAGGGCCTAGTGTGCTGGACACAGGTCCGAGTCAGGGCCCGTATCTGCAGTGTGGCAGGAGGTGCTTGGCAGACTGTCTCTCAGATCCCTGGAACTTCGGAGGGGACCGAGGAAAAGGTAGTGTAACGTGGAGCTTGCTCAGAGCATCCAAAGGCCATCCCCTGCCAGCGAGGGAGAACGTGCAGGAGCTAGGCCAGTGGTCCATTCTCTAGGGTCAGAGAGCAGAGAAGGTGACAGGGCACTAAGTGGCCCTCCTTCTCAGACTTCCCTTCCCCTTCCTCTGCAGATACCCAGTATGTCAAAGCAGCTCCTCTCCTGCCCTTGCTGGTCCTCCTGGGGACAGCTGCAGCACTCTATGCTGCCCACTCTGCTCTGGCTCTTCCAGCCCCCGAGCCGTGTGGTCCAGTGTGAGAGAGACCTGAAAGGCAAAGGTCCTGGTCTTGAATGTTTTGCCTCCTCCTCCTTCAGAGGCCTCTCTCTCCAGGAGCTTCATCCTTGAACTTCTTCCTTCCTGGCCGAGAGGCTGCACACTGTCCATGAGGTCACGGACACCCAGGCCTCAGGTTCTCTATGTATAAGGTCAAGGGCTGTACATGACTTTTTTCTCGAGGTCTCTCCCATCCATGACATTGGCAGGTTCATGATTCACTGCCTGCTGTCACCGCCTTGGCAGAGACCCGGGGGATCAAGGTGTTGCTCTCTGCAGTTGGAGGTGTCACTGAGCTAATCTGACAAGCTGTAATGCAAATGGGCCCAGCTGTGGCGTGTGCAGGGCCTTTGCCTGTGGGGTGGGGATGGGGGACAGGGAGCAGCTCCAAAGACTGGGAGCTGTCTGGGCCAAGGGGCTGGCATTGATGGGGAGCCAGGGGCTGGACACCTGGTGTCCAGTGTGTGCTGGGGACATTGACTCACTAAAACTTGTTTGGAAAGTCCAGTGGGGACTGGAGTGACTAGTTGGGGTCTCACTAGTGGCCAGGAGAGCAGCTCACTGTGGCTCTATAAGTGGAGCTGGCACCTGGGGCCAGGGTCTAGCCTGGCTCTTCAGTGAAAGCTGGGTTGGCCGTTCCTGGGGCTCTGGGGAAGCAGGGTCTGGCGCTGTGGATATCTTCAGCACAAACCAGTGCTCCCCCTGAAAGCCACTTGTACAGAGAAGCACTCTGGTGGCAGGCCTCTCCAGACATGTCACCTTCCAAGCTTGCTGTGGACAGACTGACTCCAGACCACTGAGTCCTGGGCATCTGAAATGGCTCTCTTGAGGCAACAGGTTCAAGGTCAGGCTGTATGCTTGGGATGGGCCAAAGGACACCATACCAATCACAAAAAGGATCTTCTTATCTAACCTAGGAGTTCCTTCTCGGTGGACATTGGACCAGGTGGAGGGTGTTGGCAGGTCAGTGGCAGTCCCTGACAACTCACCCAGGGGGCCACCCACTTTCCCTCCCAGGCCAAAATGGCAAAGAGAAGGTCTCTAGTTGCTTTCAGGAAAAAAGCCCTTCATGTAGATCCCACCTGGGACATTGACAGGGTCGATCGTAGCAACTGATTTCCTAAGCCTTCAAAATTGGTGGGGGAGGTAACGGGTGTTTTCTCTAATCCTTCACTGATGGATTAGATGGTGGGGCAGATCTCTCAGGAGCAAAGGATGACCTTGAGAAAATGTGGATTCTGTCAAAAGAAGAAAGAAATAATCTCCCCCTTCACCCTGCTGTCAATAAGCCTCCCTGGCTCTGGCGTGGACGGAACCTCTGCTTGCTGCTGCAGCCTCGCGGCTCAGGAGCATTTGACTGCATGATAAGAAATTGCCAGGCGCTTTCTAATTACAATTATCATCATCGTGGATGTCTCTCTTAATTACTTTCTTATAATTAGCTGTTGCTTTTTCCTCAGCATTTGTGTACTTTGCAGATTTGCTGACATTTGAGAGCCCCAAAATAGGGACAATTGGGGAGGGGGGCAGAAAGGTGGGGGAAAGGTGCCCGTTCTCTTCCGGCAGCCTGGTACATTTGGGCGCCTTTGCAGAAAGAAATTGAGGCCGGAAAAAGGAAAGGAACAGGTGACTGACAGAGCAGGTGGGGCGGGAGCGCAGGAGTGGGACTTGGGGACCGTGGTTTGCAGAGTACTCCAGAGGTTTAAGCGTATGGAGGGGCTAGTGTTGAAAAGCCACTGAGGCCCATTTCTTGGGCTTGGGTTTCGTCTTAGGATGTGACACTGGACATCAGTTCATTTCAGAGCTAGGCCACTCGCACCGTGAGGGACTTGATTTTTTGTCCTGAGCATCTCTGGCACCGGGGAGCTGGGACAAGGTGGGTGTTGCTCCTCGCCCAGGGGTTGGTTTTCACTGTTCTGTTCTCTCTCCCTCTCTCCACGCCCCTCAGCCCTGTGTACGGAGGAGTGCGTGCACGGCCGCTGTGTCTCCCCGGATACCTGCCACTGTGAGCCTGGCTGGGGAGGGCCCGACTGTTCCAGCGGTGAGTCTGGTGTCTTTGAGGGTCAGGTGGCCCACTGGTTATGACTTGGGAGGGGGCTGGGGCAAGTGCATGCTTATCCTTGTGTTAGGATGGGGTGACTCAGGATGGGCTGCCTGAGATGGCATGGGCATCGGGGGACGCCGTTCATGTGTGAAGGTACTTGTGGGGGCAGCAGGCTCTAGGGGGTATGGGGTGGTGGTTTAGGGGGGTCTATGAGGGTCTGTGTGTTTAAACAAAAGGAATTGTGGGGCCATCTGTACTACTGTGACTTTGGATGGAGCACCTCTGGATGGTCTCTGCGAATTGAACTTGGGGTGCTGCCCAAGAGTGCAGGCGCTGGAGGTTACTGTGATCTAGTTTGTCCTTGGCTTTGCTGGTACAAAGGCTTAGTTTTCTGGGTGTCCACAGAGGCACACGGGGACTGATTTATGAGACTGGTGGACACTGAGATATCTCTGTGCCCCTAAAGGTAGGAGAAGGGGACACTCGCGGGAGCAGGTCATTGTGTTCCTTCATCCCTGTGCATAGATGGTTCACATTCTCCTGGGAAGCTTCCTGGTGAACATGGAGTGAGGAGGGTGCTCTTGGGGCTAACCAGTGACCCACAATAGCATGGGGTGTCATCTTTATTATGGGGCTGGTCACCAAGAGGATGAGGTGCACCTGGCAGCTACCTGGGGAATACAGATCCTTCCCCTCTCCACTCATTTCCCCCAGTGACCCCTTTCCAAGGTCACACTCTGCAGTCAATCAGTGGTTGGTTAAATGTCACCGTCTTCTTTGATTTTCAAAAAGCCCTGACTAATGCTGAAGCCCAAGTTCCTTCCGGCTTTGTTCTGGGGTAGAGTGTTTTTTAATGGTGACTTGAGTAGACAACACAGCCAAGCTAATCCACTAGGGATCTAAGCCCATCCTGGGGAGCCACCTCCACGTTCCCTACCCCATACTAACTGTGACGGTCATGAAAACCCGGAGACAGCAAGTCATGAGAACCTAGGTCCACGTTGGTCTCCTGGGGTCTCTTGCCCTCTCTCACTCCCTCGGCTGGGGTGGAAGCTTCTACTTATGGTCCTTTTATTTTCTTTTTTTTTTTTTTTAATATTTTTTGAGTTATATAGGGACACAATATCTTCATTTTGTTTGCTTGTTTTCATGTGGTGCTGAGAATCGAACCCAGTGCCTCCCATGTGCGAGGCAAGTGCTCTGCCACTGAGCCACAACCCCAATCCTTTTTCCAAAGGCCTCGGGTGGAGCCGCCAGTCCTCCCGGAGTCTGAGAACATGCTGGCCAAAGCAAGGCCACTGGGTGTGTGGCTTTGTGTCTTGGTGATTATCTTGGCCTAGGGAACCCGGGATCCATTTGGAGTATCCAAGAGACCCTCTCTAAAGTGTGAAGACTCTCCAGTAGCCACGGTGGTCTCCTGCTTTCACCTGGTCCGGCACTTTGAGGTGGGCTGTCACTGAGAAGAGGGCCAGACAAGGAAAAGGGAACCCGAGCGAGGACATGTGAGTTCAGGGCATGTTCAACCAGTTTTCTGTGGACTAGAACTACAGGAAACGCATTGGGTGACATGTCTGAGGCCCCCCCCAGGGCCCCCCCACCCGTCGTCCATGCTTTGTTTCCCATAATGTGGCTTACAATGAATCTTTGATGAAGAGCCATCTAAGCTGGATGAGGAGAGCCCTCCTGGGATGGTCTGCTGCTGGCTCACTGCTGGGGGCAGCCTGTCGCAGACTGAACCAGCCCACGTCTCAGGGGCCCCGGGAGCATGTGAACCACCAATCAGTGCAAATGTGGTGAGTTCTCACACTGACGAACAGGACTCAGATAGGTCTTGCCCCCAGAGTGAGGATACCAGACACACACAGGCAAGCAGCCCTGTTACTCACCAGCACAACTCTGCGCTGTCTAATCAACCCCCAGTGCTGTCATCAGACTCAGTGCCCAGAAACCCACAAGCTGTTTCCGCTCCATTAGATCCACTCGCATGGGCCGAAGGGCCACCACTCCTGGGTCCACTCAAAGGCATGTACTACTGAACTGAACCCACAGGAAGTCCTAAAAGATGGAGCCCGGCAGTACTGGCTACTATTCTCACTTGCAGTGTGTTCAGGCTCCTAAGAGCTCGCCAACCTCTGCCTGCGTCCCTCTAGTGGCAGGTTGCTCGATGCTGCTGGGAGGCACATTCTGACTGGGGGTCTATCCAGGGGGAGGTTTCCCTTCTGGGCAGTGCAGCTCCGCCTCTGGGTTTACTGGTGACTTCTCACTCATGCTAAAGGCCAGGCAGGGTGACGGGTCTCCAGGACCTTCCTTGCCATTCCAGTTTCTCTGCAGGAATTCACTGGACAAGGCTGCAAGCTCTGGGTACACAGTCATCTCAGAGCAGTTGACAGCCATTGCTGGGGAGGCATGGAGGACACCAGGGTCCCTTGCAGGTCAGCCCTTCAGGTGTTAGAAGACAGCCTGCACCTCCTCCCTTTGCTTTTCTTCTCTAACCTGCTTTGATTCTCTCATGACATCACCTGACCTGTCTTCCCGACTGGTTTCTTCCCAGTGCCTGTGGCCTTTATGCCATATATATGTTTGTTTGTTTGTTTTAGTTGTAGTTGGACACAATACCTTTATTTTATTTTTATGTGGTGCTGAGGATCGAATCCAGGGCCCCGAACATGCTAGTCGGGCGCTCTACCACTGAGCCACGACTCCAGCCCCTGCTCTTTATTCTTCTTAAAAATCATTCCTATACCTGACCCCACACCTGCAGCCTTGGTCTGAGCAGTGGAAAATTATAATGGAGACTGCTACCATGAACTGAATTTTACATGTATCAGGCCTTTGCCTATCTACTCATTTAATCTTCACAGCAAACCTATAATGTAGGAATTATTAGACCCATTTTATAAATGGAAAAATTAAAGCATAAAGAGGTTAAAGAATTTCCAAAAGAATTGGGTGCAGAGGCACACACCTGTAATCCCAGCTACTCAGGAGGATGAAGTGGGGGGATCTAAAGTTTGAGGCCGGCCTGGACAATTTGGTGACATCCTCTCAAAATAAAATTTAGGAAGTGTTGGGAATGTAGCCCATTGGTGAAGCATCCCTGGATTCAATCCCCAGCCCCCCAAAAGAGAACTTCCAAAATACATAGTTAGTAAATGGTGTAACTGGGACTCTCTCTCAAGCAAAAACCTGGGTCCTGATTGGAACTCTTAATTATTACACTCGCCTTCCCTCTGTTGATATAGTCTAAGGTTGAAATAGATATTTGATGTGAAAACATGATTGCTCACAGGGGAAGGAGGGATCTACCTAAAAAGTATGGCCCTGAGGTATGGTTGTGGAGGCAGAGAAACCAGCCACAAAAAACTAATTGTTATCAGGTTTTCTTTGAGCCATTTGAGCTTGCGTGCTTGTTATTGTTCGGTTGGATGCCTGTGCTCCTCAGCATCTTAGGGTCTCTACAGGGCCATGTCCTCGGGGACAGGTGTCTCAGTCAATGCAGTGAGTATCTCTGGAGGCCTCTGAATGGGGTCTGTACATATGACACCCTTGCAGAGGAGCCTAGGTTGTTTTTTCTCCCTGTCTCTTAAGCTATACCTTTAGTTTTTGTGTTAAAAGGAACGTCCTTGGGAGGCTGAGGCAAGAGGATTGCAAGTTCAAGGTCAGCCTCAGCAACTGAGCGAGGCTAGGCAATTAAGTGAAATCCTGTCTCAAAATAGAAAATAAAAAGGGCTGGGGAATGTGAATCAGTGATTAAGCACCCCTGAGTTCAATCCCTGGTGCAAAAAAAAAAAAAAGAAAAAAAGAAAAGAAGAAAGAAACAATGAAAGAAAAAAAGAAACGTCAAATTGCATGGAAATGGCAGAAAAAAAAGGTGAAATCCACACACCCAGAGGTAACTACCACTGGGGCCTAGGTGCTTCGCCCACCATCCATGGTTTCTCTACACAATTGCACATAGAACCAGGTCTGGACCCCATGTATGTGCTAGTCTATCACTTGCTTTTAAAATTCACCTTTAAGTCATGTGCTCATTTCCTTCATCAACTTGTAAATTTTTAATGGCCTTATAAAGTTTCATCCCATGGATTTCTAAATATATTTAACCAGCCCCTTGTTGATGAACATGCAGGTCCTTTGTGATTCCCTACTCTTCTGTGCCCAGAATCTTTTCCCCAAGGACCCTTGTGCCTGTTGGTCTCAGAATGAAGAACTCTCCACGGTTTAGAAAGTGTGTGGTGGCCCTGACATTTGTGGGCTACCCCCACAGGATCTGGGTAGCACCCTGGGTAAAACAGTAATATTTCTGAAGTGGCATACGACTGATCAGATCTAGTGACATAAAGATGATACATCACCTCAAATCAGTTCCCTGTAGATTTACCTCTATGTGAATTCTTGTGCAGAACTTCAAAAATATTTTTTGGACTTTTTAGGGAGTCTGGGTTTATGGACATGTGAAGAAGGACCCGTGGCCCCGTGTGAAAGGCTGTAGCGATCCTTCTTGTGCATAAAAGGCCCACGAGATCCAGGTTCTCCTTAGGATAACTTCCTGGATGAGGCAGGGAAGGGTATAAAAATACATCATCCTACTCCCTGCCCCTGCCCTGCCCTTTTGGCTGCCAAAGGATTTATGACTTTGACAGTCTTGAAGCAGGCAACTCTAGTGCCGAGGTGGGGTGGGGCTTTTCATTCTTTTACAGACTTATGACCCCATAGCCTAATTTCTTTAAGGCCTCAACTAATTTCTTTCTGCTCCATAAAAGAAGAAGGCAGATGCGTCAGCTTTGTGGATCGTTCCAGGCTGTTAGATGGACCCATACGGGGAAATGGAGTGGCCGCACGCTTGGTCATAAACTTTGATCCCATATAATAATGAAGAGTAAAAGGATGAAATGTCAGTTTATACTGAATAAAGACGACAGAGTGACTCTTATTAAATTGTGCTAATCTCACAAGTGGAGATAAAAAGAAAAGAAGTTTTCCTATATTGAATATCT